CAGTGTTCGTTTACAGTGTCAAAGCTGGAATTAGGTTTCGTAATTTAAATTTATTGAATCGTTTTGTATCTTGAAGAGTTTTTGAGGGCTAATATGCGTGTTATTTTTTCCATCGAATAATGGCGAAATGTAATCATTCTCAACAGTGAAACGAATTAAAACTTTCAATATAATTGTTGTCCGTTGTTAATCAGTACTAACGTTATGAAACCTGAAACTTTCCAAGTGATGCATATTTTTTAAGTTTAGAATATGAAAAACAAAATTCAACAAGTCTTGTATATTTAAATGAAATTTAGGTCTTTATAGGGAACTGTTTTAAAGAGTATAAAATAGCTCAGAAAACCTAGCAATGGAAAGTAAACTACTTTCTCCTCTCAACCGTGACATGAAAATTAAATTTTCGAAAACGTCCGCTCTTCTCAATTTTCAATCAGAAGGTTTTTATTGCATTTGATAGGCCACTACTAATCTGGAAGAGTGTTAAAAATTCGCTAAATATTCAAGGATACTAGTCCTCATAAATTTCACGTCTATTCCAAATGCATGTCAGCAAACACTACAAGTATAAGATTTTCAAAAAAAAAATGAAGGTAGAAAAACTGCTTGGTCAATTCCAAAGCTAATATTTCGGCTGGTTTAAGCTTCGAGACATTATTTTGTATCCATCATTTGAATTCGCTTTGTGTCTAGGATCTGATTACTAAACTAGAATTTATACTGAAGATAAGCTTAAGGAATTAGTGATATTTGAAGCCTATAAGTAAAATATGTCAAATTCTATTTTTTCAAAGACTACAAAAATAATGTGTTTTTAATTTTTAAAAAATCTTTTTATTCATATATTCGTGCTTATTATTTTGACTTTTTACAATATAAAAGAATTACCAACAACAACAAATGAACAATGTAAATAGGACAATGATAAAATCATATTTCACTTCTAAATAATTTAGAAAATAGAATAACAAACAAAAACGGCACCAGTGAAGGGTGGAGCGGTCGAATTTGATAAACAGTTATATTACCAGTAGTAATAATATAGCATAAAGTAAATTATAAATAAAAATCAATCATAAATAGGATCAAAAATTTAATAAAATTTAAATCCTCTGATGCAAGTAAAGTAAGAAAAGAAAAAGTCAAGAAAAATTAGCAAAGCAAAGAAAATTGTTCATCATTATAATGAATACAACGGGACGACAAATATCTCCTGAGAATAGCAAAAATGTTATTGTGCATCACAACACAAATATTGACAACTACAATCAAATCTAATTTTGTAAGAAATTATGCTCTAACAGAAATACTAGCTCAATGGTTTACAATTCTGACTGATACAACGCAATTTTTTGAAAAGCGAAAAAAGAAGTATTCTATAACTTTGCTTCAAATAATGCAGATGCAGGGAGATAAGTTCCTACTAATATTTGCGTTATGATATGCTAATTGAGCAGAAATTAAAATTCACTGCTACAAAATGAAATGAAACAATAAGGAATATGCAATTTTTTGAAAGAGAAGTGAGGGAGAAACAAGTACGTAATTAAGATAATAATTAGGGAGTAACTTCAAGTTACATATGGAACCATTATCAGGTACCGCTATAACAAAGTGTCCGTGTCATCAGGTGAAAGATCAGACTTGGTTGGTGTTGAGTGACTGGAGGTGGAAAGTATCAACGAGGGACGAGGTGACCTGCGAGGCTGTGATGATCGCAAAGTGCTCGTTGGTGGCGGTGCAGGAAGAGCGTAACTGATACCAATAAATGGACTGTCAATGTCATCGGTTTCGGTAACACTGCTTTGCAATCTTGATATTGGCATCAGTTCTTCACGTCTGTTCCCTAACTATAAGAAGACATGGATCAAGCATCAACCATTCATTCGTCAATAACAAGAGATTATTAATTCAGTGTAACCTCTAATTTCGTTATTATGATGGATCAATCGTACTTTAAACTAGTTAAACGCTAAGAACTTATCTCTAATATCCAATTCATAGCTTTGGTTAACTTTATAAGAATTATCAAATGAGACATTCAAATGTTCAAAGCTATATTTTGTAAATTCAAAACAACTAGAAATTAAAAACTGTTTCTACTGTGCTTACTCAGTCAGTCACGTTACTTTCATATAGGGTTCTCATTCGCATTCAACGACAAATTTGAAAAATTTTTCAATTTATTTCACTGAAGGAAATGCTTAAAATGATACTGATGAATCGTTCTAATGAAAATATGAAACTGCTGAAGAAAGTAACGTTTTTTATTGCTGACTGATGATCCAAGCAGCTTGCATTGCTTTCAGATGATATTTTTGACACACAATTAATTAAATGGCATATCGCTACAAATGTACCCTGAATAGATGAGTTCCTGAGGCACTACGAGATGAGTAAATCGTTCGGGTGGATGTATCTTTGGATGAACGTCCGGGCGACGAGTTACTTTGAGCATTTTCCGGAATGAGAACCCTCAAAATCTGTTCAAGGCTATTGTTGATTTTATTTTCCATCTTCTCCAGATGACTGCAAATCTTCCTCTCTAAGCACTTCAATTTAAATATTTACTGAGACTAAGAGGTAAATACTTTTCAAAGTTCAAGTATTAAGGATGAGAGTTCTGAAACAAACTTCAAAAAAATTGCGTACCTTTCAATATCACTAAGTCTCCTCTCTAGCAACTGATATCGAATATCATCGTAATCTTCGGAGCGACTACTCACTGCAAGCAAAAATAATTCATAATTGTTTTTCCGTGTATTTTTTACTTACGTGTATTGACTGTTTAGCAGCAAAGTAACGCAAAAGTATTTTGGTTCGTCAACTATCTAAAAGACGTCTTTTGATTGCCAACCAAATACTAATTTGCACTCTCATTTATGTATAAAATGTGACTGAGAATACAATGTCTTGATGCAGGATTGCTAATTATTCGTTTATAAGCTTCGTCATCGCCCCTCTGATCATCCTTCCTCACATGAGTGGCATTCTCCACTTGTCGACGGCAGGATAACAGCGTTTCACCTAATTTTTATGCCATCAACAGTACTTAATATTTATTTATAACACCAAAAGAAATAACGACACTAACAACTTTACTCATCCACCACGTTATAATTCTAGTACTGACGTACGACATAAAGATATAATCAAAAAACTGCAAGTACTTCTATGATGATTTTAAGCTCAACCACGCATTGTTCAGGTAGCAGTTAGCAGTACTTACTTACAAGATTCCAACTCGTTGCCATTTTTAACTAGCAAACTCACGCCATCTTTAACCAGAATGACTTTCAAATTGTAAATTTTGTTATTTTATTCCGAAAAAACCGAATTTCAAAAATTTTTATCATTCTGGAACTCAGCAACAAGGCCCTTTTCAAGTATTTTTTTACAACCTTTCCTGTCACATTAGGAATCTCTTAGAACGCTAAGACTAACTCGTTGGCTCGGTACGTGTCGCCAAATCGTTCCTCTTCTCGACCGAACCTATAAAATTCTGCCTTCTTAAATTATGCGACACAAAAATGCTAATAATTAAATAATACATTCGTTTATTTCAATCATAAAAAATACCCACTGGACGGATATCATCTTTGCTACAATAACTTATATAACATGCACAGAAGGTTATAGGTTAATCTTTTTTCAGGCTTCTTGATTTTCCCGTGGAACGTGTTCGCTGACTCACAGTTCTGCTGTTTCCTGTACACTGATTGGTGCTTTTCCATATCCTTCACGGAACTTTCTTCAAAACCTCAGCTGTTTTCGATTTGCTTTCATTTATAATTTCAGACTCGGTTTTTCCGTTTATCCTCCATTTCTTGCTTTGTGATGAGAAAAATCAATATCACAAAAAGTAATACGAGAGAGCATTCCAGCAATCAACCAAATCAGTTATCTAATGGCCAGGAACGAGTTTCTGAAGAACTTTCCACATGACAAGCGACTTACAAAAAGCATAAAGAAGTACAAGACCATAACAAGAATGCTCATGCAACCATCATGCAGAACGACAATAACTCCGTATGTGATGACTTTGGATGGGATAATGACAAACTTTCATATACATTACGAAAAGGAAATCAGTGGATCTGGTCACGCGAGGCATAAATTCAGTCGCTAGTGTTCAAGAAGACGCTCGAAAACATTTTATTCTATCAGCGCCGTGGATTCGACAGGACTAAGCGTAGGGCGAGCGCAGCGAGAATTCCAGAATATGACCCAATAATGAAGAAAAGAAAAGTAGCTTCCGTGTGATTATATATATATATA